TGGACAGGTGTACCTAATAAAGTGGCCGGTGAGTGTAGAAGTAGTCTGGGTGTTTTCACACAAATTTAGAAGAACAAGTCTAACTTGGTGAAATTTTGTCTAGGTTTCTTCATCTTAAACTAAAAAGTTCAAACGACTAAGAAAAAACAAAAATAGACCTGCTTTGTAGATTTTATGATAAAAAGAATGTTCCAAGACTTGATTCTAAAGTCTACAGTAAGTGCTTACTTGTTTAGTAACCCTTCATAATAATAAAATCCTCTTGTATGTTTGTTTTGTGAGTGTGTGTAGGGAGGAGGGTGTATACACTAAAGTAGCTCATAATTTTAAAGTGAAAGGCAAATCATACCGTATTTAAAGCCCTTTACTTTAATACTTCTGAGAGCGACCTTATGCTGCTCTTACAGCTGCATGTGTCCTTTCTCTATGTGCTTCGTATCTTTAAAGAATAAGTATTGTTGTTTTTTCTTTGCTGTTTCTCAAGGTCCATTTTTTTAAGACTTGTTAAAAATTCCAAAGGTCTTCCAATAAACTGTGATAGGCTTCAATGTTACTGCTAGAACTATGCATTCCTATAGCATGATACCGTCCCTAACATGTTTCAGCACAATTGGTTAATTCTATATCACATAAACTGGGATGTTAGATGAACAGTAAGCAGGTACACTACCATTATATATATATCACGTAAAAATATAGCACATTATTTATGTATAATTATTTCCTCTACTAATAATCCAATACATTTTAATAAGCAAAGAATTTTATATTATTCTATACATAAACCCGATCACCCATTTTCAAAGGAGCATGACAGTCTGCCATCTTGAAAGTACAGACACCGGTGAGGGATAAAATAGCACTAGTGTTAGCAACCTTTTTCCTTTTACTGGCAGTTCAGTATAATTGTGAGGAGCAGGTGAAGATCCTTTGGAGATGCTGACCCAACAACTGAAAATCTGCACTACTGCAGACCAATGCAGGACCACACATATGCAGCAGCCTGTTATGTTCACCATCCCCAGGAAAGCGAAAAAGTAAACTTAAAAGACAACAAAACTGGAGACATCAAAAAACGAGGGTAAACATCAAGCACACCTTCTTTAGATGGAAGGAGCTAATGAATGAGAAATTATTATGGTTCCCCCGTGCTTTTTGAGTTTCTTTTTGAACTTCTTTTGGAGTTTAAAGTTATTTATGTCTGCTGCTCCCTGCTAGCTCCCAGTCTTTGTTCTGTCTCCCATATATACACCACCTGTACAGTTCCTCAGTGCTGGTTTCTCACTGTTACTTTGCTCCTCATGAGTGTTTTCCCCTGGTGTCTGTTGGTTTTTGGTTTTCTGTATTTCTGTCTTGGATTTTGCTTCTGCTGCCTTTTTGTACCTTCATTAAATCAGCAAAACATATCCCTGCCTCCTCATCTCTGCCTTTAGGTCCTCAACCAACCTCCATCCTACCTTAACAGAAATATTTCTAAAGGGACGCTGAAGTTCTCAGGTTTCTCCTTGAAGAGAGTAAACTGTACTGTCTAAGTCAGTATAAAGCAAATATTTTTTTTCTATCTGGTTTAATTAGACATTGTTGCTTGCTACCATAGAAAGCACAACAATAGATCCCAATCTTGTTGGTGCAGAATTGTAGATTTCCCAGTTTAGTAGAATTGAAAGCCACAGTGAAAACTTTTTTTGTCACGGTAAATACCAGCTTGTAGCGACTTCCCTTTACTTCAGACGAAATGGTCACATGCACTGTCGCAGCTTTTTGACACACAGTGGCTACTGTGGCCATAATACTTGTTTAAGGCAGTAACGCACTAGGGTAGAGCATTCATTTGAGTAAAACACCCCCATTCACCACAGATGACATATTCTTACACATCTCTTTGATTTTTGTCGTCCATGGCTGTACTGTAGTAGCTGACTGAAAAGGGTTGTGAGTCTGAACATGGAGCCAACGGGTACAATTAAAGGCTTTAAAAGAAAAGATCTTAGCCGTTACATTCGCTTCAATCTATCACCAACATAGCTGTAAGATCAGTGAAATTCATTATCCCATTATCTCATGGCAATAAAGTAATTAAAGGGGATCACAGAAAACCAAACGAGATTACTCAATACAATTAAGCTGTAAAATGAAGTCAAGATATGTGAGGGGAAAATGATACACCCATTTTCTGCAGCAGAAGAGGTGTAGACTGCTTTAAGCAACTGGCCTGACTTTAGGCACTGTGCACTAACCATAAGCTACCCTTTGAATCACCACCAGTATGTGACTCAGCTATTTAAAGGGAAGAGAAAGTAAATGGAGATAGCCTCATCATTCAAAAAACTACTGATCTGTTGCATTAATTGCAAAACAAAAAGGCTAATTAAAGTTAACATAGAACTAAACATTTGAGCTTGAGAAAAACGGGGACATGTGTCTTTTTTAATGGATTTCTATGTCAAATTAGAGGAAAATGCTTGGATTTCCTCGCTTTAACCAACAACAGTTAAAGTAGCTTTGAAGTTAAAGCTGATGAGCTGTTCTGATTACATGGAGGTGAATTCTAAATGCTGAAAATGACGACCAGCCTGAGAGCATGTCCACTTTTGAAGTCGTCTTCAAAAATGTCTCAGAGCTTTATAAGCAAAGAATGAATTTATGACTGAGATGCAAGGAATGTATAATGGGTGAGAAAATGAAGGTTGTCATTAGGTGCTACAAAATCTTAATACCAAATTATAATCTCATTTTTATGAAATTATAACAATTATCTAAAAGCGTTAAATAGAAAGTGTATTCTATAGGATAATAATGTGTATTGAAATGAATAACTTTTACCTGCTAGAGTCTTGTAATCAAGCAGATCAAACAGCACAATGGCCACTCCTGACCATGTGAGGATCAGAGCCACAACCAGCAGCCAGGCCATGGGTGAGGTAAAGGTTAAAATGATATCATCCAAAACCGTCCTCTGATTGGACTGAGATGAAGGGCCAGCCTCTCCACCACTGTCCTGACCGCTCATTGTAGAAGAGTGCTGGGAACAGAAAGAGGAAAACAAAATAATTTTACAGAATCGTATTCTACCAGCCTTAGGAAGGTAATAAAGACTTATAAACAATAAAAACCAAACATTAAGTTGATTATATTATGGCTTTGAGTTAAACTGAAGCACAGTTTGGCATTAAGTTTGAGAAACATTTTAAACACACTGCACCCCGATAAATAACAGACAATAAGAAAAAAAAAATGTCTTTTGTACTGTCCGTTTAAATATATGGTTTTAATTGTAGAGTTAAAGAAACATCAACATTTTGAGAAATGACATTTTTTTGAACAGCAGAAACTTTTTTACTGGAACTTTGATTAAACTGAATGGTTTTCTAAAGTGTGCTGCTCAAACTAGTTTGATATATTCTCTAGAAAAAGCAGTATATAAGGTATTCCTTCTACTAACACTGAAAATTATTTCCGTTGCTCAGTGAATATTATCATCCCATGCTTCAGGTGACATCAATAGTTGCAGGTGAGCCTTTTGATAACTAGCAAAATAAATATGGGTAATAAAAAAAATCCTCTTTTATTACATCAAAAGTTTTAAAAAACTTTGCTGTCCTCTCTTCTGCATTTCGATTTTAGTTCAATAAAACTATTAAAAAGTTTGAATAACATATTTGACTTTTGCTGTAGAGTCTCTGTCTCCTCTTTTTTATCTATATATTCAAAGATTTTTCTGTGAGAAAATATGGTCACTCATAGACCATAGGAGTGCCCATAGACTCATAGATTAATTCAACAAAGTTATAATTTGGGCACTCATAGACCCCCCTCTGCTCACAGAGGGGGGTCTATGAGTGAACATATTATACTTTGTTGAATTAATCAAAAAGTAGTTAATCTTTTTTAAGCTCTTGATTTTTAAGAGACTGAATAATTCAAATAATAAAAAATAAAATTTGAATTAACTAGGAACTGGAAGTTTGCAGAATAAGAGTGCATATTCGACCTAAGTATGTTTTCTAGTTGCTTTGATTGTGTGGCAATGGTTTATGCATTCTGTACACATTGCATGTGAGAGTAGAAGCAACTTTTTTCAGCATGTCCAGAAAGTTCATGACAGGCTGGCTTATCTGACGACTAGATCAGAGTTAGATGTGTAGGAAGAAGATTCTGTCTCTTTATTGCCTCTTTGGTTCCTAAGCAATTGTGACATAATCCAAATGTGCAAGAAAATGAAGTGTAAGAAGAAAAGATCAGTGATTTACAGATCGCATCTTTTTCAAAAACAAAGTACTCCAAATAAATCAGTTATTGTTTCACTGACTACACTGGAAAAAAATGAGTTTATACCATTAGAATATGGTTGTTCCAAAACAGCAAATAGATTAATCAAACCAATGTTGTGCTCTAAAGTCTTTATAAAGATATCCAATGATGTTACTGGAAAATAAGCAGACTATATCACATAACACGAGCATCTTCCCACGATAAATTCATGCAGCTGAAGCCGAAATTGTGCAACTTTACTCCGTGCAAACAGAAATATAAACTCTATGATTAATAAGCCTACACACAGAAGGTGTTTATTCATGAAGAAGATGGTGACTCATTAGAATATGTTCGGTTTACCCAGGGTGAGTGTGAGAGATATGAGGAGGCAAGATGAATCAGAGTGAGAGGGAATAATGAGAGAGAAGACAGATTACATCAACCCAATGAGATGAAATACTGCTCCAAAGAAACTTTTCATTATCCTGTGGCAGAGGGGCTAAGCTCCGATAACATGATTATGTGCAAGTGTTGGGTTGTTTGACTTCATTTATTTTTCTGTTTCCCTGTTTTGACTCTTGTAGTCTACATCCACATTTATAAAGAGATAATTACTCTGTCAAATGCGTAAGGGCTTTTCTCTGAAGGTCCAGTGAAATTGTTAGTTATACCTGTCTCATTTAGAGAATCAGGAGATTACTTTGTATGAGGGGAGGCAGGTGATAGACCTACATTATGAAAAAGATCAAAACAGCTGGTTCTGTGCTTTTAGTTTTTGGATTTATCCATGCAGTCTTTATCTGCCTGGGTAAATTAGCCACATTATCCTTGATTCTATAGCTTGTACACTCAAAAGCAGAGAAAAAGATTTACTTAGGTTCACCTAAATAGCTATGGCAGAAGAAAAAATCCCACAAATATGACAAGAAAAAAACAACAACAAATCTTTACAATAACTATTTTAAAAAGACCAACAGGAAGAAAGCAGGAAGAAGAGTGACACTGAGGTCACTGTGATGGAGAGGTCGAGCCCTGCAGTAGGCTGAAGCAAGATTAGAAACCGACATTTGGATATACTGACCAATTTTCTGATATTTCCTGTATGACGAGGAATTTAAAACAAGGTAACCAGCCAGTATCAGACTTAGCCATCGAGTTTCGACCTCTATCAGCCTCTTCACCCTAAAGCTTTAAAGGGAGCTTTTGTTCAAGCTTTGGAAGAAAGAATTAGGGATAAACTAGCATGCAGGGAGGAGCTAATCTCCCTGGCTATCTGCTTTGATAAAATATTTCGAGAGAGGACTAAGGCAAAACAAGAAAATAATTAACCTCTTCCCCAATCTCATCATCAAGATCCTTCACAAACTTCTGACTCTACCTGGCCAGATCTAGAGGAACCAATGCAGATTGTCACCTGAGCAACGGAAATGTTGGATAAAACTGGACCCTGACTGTACTGCGGTGAGAGTGGTATTTGATTTCTTCCTGCCCAAAGCAACTAAACTGGTGGGGCTACTGGTAAGGAAGGGACAAATGAGCAGTTCTAAGGACAGATCCTTCCGCATGACATTACCCTGCTCTCTCCCACTGAATCAACCATTTCCCTCTTTTGCTTTAATCGATTCTGGTTGTGAACAAAGCTGTATTGATAACAATTTAGTTGAACTATTACTTCTTCCTGTTGTTCTACCTGAACCACTTCATGTCTCAGCTGTAGATGGAAACCTCTGCATGTAACCACGATTCGAACGGAACCAGTAAAACTTCTCGTTTATGGCAATTAAATTAAAGAAATAATTTTTTCTTTTCTTTACCCAATCTCCCATTGTTTTAGGGCAGTGGTTCCCAACCCTGGTCCTCAGGGACCCCTACATGTTGCCCTGAGTGGTATTTGTTGCCCTGGTATGATTTGTTGCCCCTGCATGGCTTGTACCAGAGAAGGTTCAAGCCATTTTTAATTAGCCTAATCCCTGAACTCGCAAGGAGCTACGTTATTCAGGATTCTCCAGCTTCTACCGCAGATTAATTAAAACTAAATTCAATTTACTCAACTCCCCAATAGCCTTACCTTCTACAAATGACCTTTCATTTTGTCACCTGAAGCTGGAATGGCTTCTTCAGAGCTCAAGAAAAAGTTTGCTAATGCTGATTTAATAATTCTGATTTAGCCAGATCAAGAGAAACAGTTTGTCCTTGAAGTTGATGCCTCTGATTTATGGGTGGGTGCAGTCCTTTCTCAAATTTCCTCTGACGATTATAAACTTCATCCATGTGTCTTCTTTTCCTGTGATTTGTCTAAAGCAGAACGAAAATGCAATGTGAGTAATAGAAAGCCCTAAGCCATAAAAAGACTTTTGAAGAGGGGTTTCACTGGTTGGAGGGAGCTGAACATCCTGACATTTGAATTTGGCCTTTCTCCAAGAAGCAAACCTTCTGAAACATAGACAATCATATTGGTCTCTGTTGTTTTCCCATATTAACATTGTGTTCTCTTACTGTCAATGCGCTAAAAACACCAAACCCCAGACCCTGTATGGGCAAATCTCCAATGACCAGGAACCCTGACATCTTAACCTTCCTGCTTTAAGGGGACCTCATTGTGGGAAATAAAGGATCCAGTTCCGGAGGGCTCAGGGGTCCAAACCGGACCCTGACACTGGACCTCCGAACCAGGTGTATGTTTCTGCTTCCATTAGATCCTTCCTCATTCACTGACTAAGCATTTTTTTCACCCTCATGGAAACCCTGTCAAAACCTGTCGGATTTTATCTCCCGGGTCTGGAAGAAGTTTTGTACCAAGACTGCTCTCAGTTCAGGTTTTCATCCCCAAATAAATGATCAATCCAGACACATGAGGAGCTGGAGGCATCCCTCCGTTGCCTCAGTTGGTCATCATAGACTAGTCAGTTGCCTTGAATTGAATTTGCACAAACTGACACTTCCTCTGCTACTTCTCTGTCTCCATTTGAGTCCTCTCTAGGATACCAACCTTCCCCTGTTTCCATCAATCCAATCAGGTCATTGCAGTTAACTCTGTAAAACATCTCATTCGATGCCGCAGAGGGTCTGGAACCTGACCTGCCTTGAACTGGAGACAAGTCAATGTATGGCCGATCGGAGGATTCCCGCTTACCAGTACTCACCTAAACAAAAGGTTTGGCTATCAAATTGTGACATCAACCTTAAGGCCTCTAATCTCAAACTATCTCCCAGATTCATTGGTCCATTTATTATCCAGGCAGTGCTCAGTTGCTCTGCCGTACGCCTCAAGCTGCCAGATCATTTTTTAAAGATTCATCCTTTTTTTCACATCTCTCTGATCAAGCTTGTCCTGTCTAGTTCTCTTTGCCCTCCTTCCATTCCCCTTCACCCATCCAAAACATTAAAGGGCCCCCGGTCTTTACTGTGCAAAGGATTTTAGATGTTCTTTACAGAGAAGGGGGGTTTTCAGTATCTGGTCGGTTGGGAGGATTATGGACCTGAGGAATGGTTTTGGATCCCTTGTTCTTTTATTTTGGATTTTGGACTTGTTTGGGACTTTTGGGCTTCTCACCCTTCCTCTTCTGGCAGTCCTTGAAGAGGAAGTAATGTAGGGGGGTTTTCTGCTATGGGTGAACTACTATCACATAGAGCATCTAGGCTAGAAGCTGGTCCAACCCGTGTTGCTTCACACCTGAGATCATTTCCTGGTATATTTGTCTTATTGTGTATCTCTTTTAATGTGGACTATGCTACTGTTCCAGACAACCAGTGAACCAAAGTCTGTCTCCAATCTTCATCAAAAGGTCTTATCTGTGTGCAGCGGTTCTCAGTCTTTATTACCTGCCTGTCCGCTCTCCAGCACCTCATCTCTTGCATTTACCAATGCTCTCTGATTTCACTCACATTTTCTCTGGACCTCTGTGGTTCAGTCTGCAAAGCCCGCTGAATCAAACCCCTACAGATCCATGCTACCTCCCCTTCATCTCTCAAGTAAGCAAATCAATCAGCCATCAAACAACTCTTTCCTGATCAGCTTGCTTTCTCTCCTCAGACCAACCAAAAAGTTCAATTGACTTCCTGAAGCTCAAAGACAGACAGACAGACAGACAGACAGACAGACAGACAGACAGACAGACAGACAGACAGACAGACAGATATAGTCCCTTAAGTGTTGGGTAGCATAATGTTGATTTAAACAGACAGGATGATATTTTCATTTTGTCTGCTTTAAAATCATTGATGGTAATTAGTGTGGGGATGCTGCTTATATGTTAGTCATCCAATTAAATTCTCTTCAAAAATGATTTCCATACTTTATTTTGTTAATCTTGAAACAAACAGCTATTACTGTTAATGCAATTAAGAAACAAAACATATGGTTATTTTTTTAGCTCATAAGCTAATACTCTGTGTCACAAACTGACATTCTCTTTGACCAACAGGCAACATAAAGCTGGTTTGTTGTATGAAAAGATATCTGATGTAACCGATAAACTTACAGTATCATAGCATACAAATTAAAACAATCGTTGTATTGATGGGAACTCGGCTACCTTTTAAGGTTGTTCAGGAATTGTAACACAACCAGGCTAAGGGCAATTTAATGAGAAGTACTCATAGAACTCTATGTAACATTATTTGGTTTTGCAGCAAAGCTCTATCTGTTAGTAACAATGCAGAGAACTAATGTGCTTTGATTTTTTTGGCTGACCTTTTCCTTGCTCCATTCAGTTAACGAACTGCAAGATCAATTTAGCATCTTTTTACTCCCACACACTCTGATGTGTATTTCTGAATGCCTCTGATTCAAGATGGCCAAATACTGACGTGTAAAACCACAGTAATTTGTGTGATTTGTTGTGTATGTGATAAAACGGAGCATTAATCAGGTGAAATGGTGATCTATTGAACAGCCCTACATGGACTTAAAACCAGTGTGTCACAAAGAAGTCCTGAAGTAATTTTTTTCACAATGCATATCTCCACATATGCAATAAAACTATTTATATTTTAAGATTAAAAATTCATGGCCAGCTATTTTCTGTCCTCTTCGTGAATGACACAGTCCACCTGATGTTTCAGTTACATGCTGAGCTGTTCTTCACACACAGTCATGGACACCAACTGGTGTTGCCTTGTTCACGCCACAGGAGTTCACAGAATTAGAACAATGTGGACGCAGAGTAATTTTTTGGCATTCAAGGGCAACTGAAAGGTAACACAAGCTTGGGTTATCTGAGCTGCGTAGGAGCAAAAGCCGCCATTACATGTTAACTGTTGATATGAACTCATCATTCACCGATAAACTGATTATATTATTAAGATTATTTTAGAAATCCAGTTTAAGTGCATTTATTGGTTAATCAAATATTAAATAATAGTTATCCAATAATAACAAAGGTACTGCCTTTACTCACACCCTAAAAAAAAACTATAAAAAAACAAAGCTAGTTAGTAATTTGTTATCATTTTCTCATTATGTAGGATATGGGTAGGACATTGACAGAATCTTTTTAATCAAAATGGAAAGCTAGTATCTACATACCCCCCTGTTTAAATATAAATGCAGTCTGTTTGAGTCCATTTCTTCCTTTTATGTAAACCTTATGGTATATAGAGCGTGAACTAAAGAAAGAAACGACTAGAATGCAGATAAACATCGTTTAATCATATTTTGCCAGACTGCTCTGAGCATGTCTGATGATGACTTTAGAGAAGCAGTTTACCAGAGAAAATGTAAAACACATCAAATTGTCATAAACATTTTTTTTGAAGATGTGTGTTAGCATTCTTTAGTAATTTAAGGAAAGAAATAATTAGTTTTAGTGCTATAATTACATTATCTATGGCGACCTGGATGAATATCTTCTTGAGCATGCGCAAATGAGCTGATGGTACGGATCGTACTGCCAGGACGGATTGGGTAGTGACAAATGGTTCCACGCCACTATTCAAAGTGCATTGTGGAAAATTTTGAGTCCAATGCATTTTCATCCACTAGACATTGGGACACTAATTTAAAATGGCGTAAACATAGAGCATTATAGGACTGACATTCGGACATTCTGACACAGCCAATGTCTTTGAACCAGATATGTTGCGAAAATTAAACGATGTGCCTGTCCCAAGAATATTTGGAGGGTAGAAAGAAAATGTTTTTCCTTTGAATCTTATTTTTATTTTTCTTTGTAATATTTGCACAGTTCTCTTTCAAAATTTTAAATGTAAAATATATTTTAAAGGTTCTTGTTAAAAAAACTGTTTGTTTCTTTATTTTATATCATGTTTTTATTTATAGTGCACCTTGTAATCTCAAATCACTACAAACAAATGTAAAAGACAACGCTGCCTGAAATACAGCTGTTTTATTAAATAGAGGAAGAAGAAAAAATCTGTTGTGAAAACCTGTCTCATTGCAGGCTCTGTTAGAATTCTATTTTTCACAATGTTTAAGTTCCATCATTATCTGCCGTACTGCTGCATTAATTTGAGCCAGCCTGTACATGTTTTTTCTTTAACATAAGCGGCCTTGAAAGCATTTATTAGTAGAATCGTTAATTTAGCTCTCTAGTATTGAAAAGTAATAGAAAACTCCAATAATATTTAACACAACTTTTTTCCAAACAATAAAAAGCGCAGTAGGTGACCTGTGCCTGGTGTTCTACTGTCTGCAGCAGCAAGTGCACCACTATGGAAGGTGCAAATAGCCTTATTTGGGCTTAAGGTCTTTACCTGTGGGTGTCTCACAAAAAGAAGGACTCAAAAGGGAGGATTTATGATTTTCTGTTTGCTAAGAATACCACTTACAGGGAAATCAAAGGTCTGACCCTGAAAATACCTTGAGATACTGGATTGAGCCATAGGAGCTAGACCAAAGGAGAACATTTTTTCCTATACTGCTATGTGAAATTTTAGCATTTTTTTTAGCTTCCATAAAAAAACCTTCAGCTTTTTATGCTAGTGTTATGATATCACAAGCAAAAAAAGGAAGAAGAGTCTGTTATTTAACAAACAGAAACAGGTGACTCCAAGCACAACCTCAATGGTTTAAAAAGGGAAGGTTTCAGAGTGACATCTTATGGGAAGGTGAACAGGTGAGTTATCCTAAAAACCCCTCAGATTGGGCTAAATGAAAACAGTTCTCTAAAGCAAAGTGGGATACAGCTCTCCCTCAGTGATCTAAAGGTTCTTGACTGGTTATTACAAATGAAGATTATAATCTTCTCTAATTAAAATTGTTTGATGATCTAGTAAAAAGCCAAAAGAGAAGAAATGTTCAAGTACTTGCTTATAACACAGTCTTTTGTGTATTGATACTAATACAAAATAAGTCGAACAAATTAACTTATGACATCATTAGATATAAAACAAAATAATACTCATCTGATAATAATAATTATTCCAGCCCTGGTTCTTAATCTCACTCCAGAAAAGTCAAATTTGATCAGTAATAAACAACAACATACCATAATTGAAAGCATAGGGAAGAAGACAACAAAATGCAGATTTTCTTTTCTTCATACTTTAAATAATAATCATAGAGAGTATGTTAGAAAGCCATCTTGTTTTATACAGAACAAAATAAAAAGTACAGCAAATATCAGGCAGGAGTAAATTACTTTTTAAGCACCTTACTCTTAAACTTTCCAAATGTTTGCGGATAACCTTTGGTTCTTCAGAGGTCCTTGAGACGCAGCGTTACCAAGGAAACCAGCATTAAACTCCTTTTTAAAATGTTCTCCTTGTCCCACTTGACTGAGAGAAGGCGGTCTTCGTATCCGGTAGTGATAAGCAGGCAACAGTTGTGCTAAGCTGAGTCTCAGCAGGTCTAAAAATACACTGTAAATGGCCCCCCCAACTGAAAATGAAAAATAGCTTGAAATAAAGTTGCTGTACTGCCCGTTTTGGTATGTTTCTCTGGACTCTTGCAGTTTAAATCCAAGAAATTACGTTAAAGGTTCAGAAATTTGGAGTTTACTGGCATCCTGAGGACAGGACGAATGGGAGGAGGAATGCAAAGGAGCAGAGAGGAGGTCAACCCACTGAGAATCGTCCCCGCCCCCTCTGAAAGTCAATAAGAAAGGAGAGCAGTAGAGACTGGCAAGGAAAAACAAAGATTTTTATTGCCAAATAACTAAATATAAGTTTTCTTTACAAGCTCTTCTGCAGGATGTGATTTAGATTATAAAGTTAAACTAGATGCATCTATGACTACAACTTCTGCATCAAACAACCTCTAAGTAATTTCCACCCTCATACATCCTTCCCTCATACATTTTATCCATAGCGAGACGCCATTAATAATCCAATAACCCAGGAGGGTCAAGCAGAGGTTCCATTTGAGAAATAAATATGTGAATAAGTACTTTGCATGAGTTTTAAAGCATTGTCAGAAGCTGTTCCTGGGACCCATTGTAAATGGCGTTGTGTGTGTATGTCCATGTGGCGTAACCTGACCCCCAGTCTTTCCCTGGGAGCCTGCACTGTAGAGGCTATAATTGGAGACATAGACAGCAGCTGGTGTTAACATTTAGCTGGACTGCTTTAGATGAAGGGCGCATAGAGGGGGATGAGGGACTCAACGCTTGCCAGCATCTGGGATGATGAGTAGCTGTATGATTGGGGGAGGAGCAAAGAAATGAACTGAGCAAAAAAAGTTACGTTCTTGTTACCTTTTAATTGTCACCTATGTTCTTAATATATGAGTCATGACTCAAATAAGGATATTTTGGATACAGTGGTGGCAATGATCTTTCCCTGATAAGTGGAGGCTTAGTTTAGCTCGCCATCCACAGAGGGTGCAGAGTACAGTCTCTGGCTAGCAGCATCTAAAAAGAGTGAGTTGAGGGGGTCTGGCTATCCGATGAGGATTCCTCCAGGGCTCTTATATTTAAATATTTTCCAGGGAAAACCTAAAAGGCAGAGAGATGCTGGAGTGTTTCTCCTGAATCTAGCTTCATCATCTGATTTAATATGAACAGAGGATGGCGGGATGGATAGAAATCAATCTGATTTCACTTTCCTTTTGCAGCTACCAGTTCAGAGTTCTGACTTATTTTCCAAACTCTGGTTGCAGCTAGCAGTGCTGCAACGATAATTCCAGTTTGTTGAAGTAAATTCAGTTGTAGCCATGTAATTTTGCTTGTCTATTTTTTAACCCTTACAATGACCAATAGTGCTGCCGATGTTGTCCACTATCTGATATACATTCATTTTATATCTTAACTGGCTGATAACTCATACAGATTATTTCCCCTTGACCTTCTTCCACGCGCTGTGCAGGTTTCTCCCACCTTGGTGGTGAAGTCCAAATTGCATTTTAACTATCAGTTTCTAATATTTTTTAAACCTCCCACACCTCTGGCATCTTAACTCTAGCATCTGACCTGTGGTAGACTCATGCCTCTGTTGGGTTAATAATCAATGATCAGAGCATAATTACATTTTCTAAAAATACAAATTAACATAATTTAATACTTTGTAATTATGACAAAAAAAAGAACAAAACTCAGGGAGACCATGATGACTTTTTTAAAATAAAAGCGTTTCACAGGACATATTCCAAACTACGATTTCAAAACATAATTTACTTACATTTTTACATGGGTTGCATTTTGAGAACACAGTAAATTAAATTTTTTTTTATTTAAACAAATTTGTCAAAAGAGTTAAAATTATTTATTGCAATAACAATACATAACAAAATATTAATAAAGTATTTCATTAAAATAAAGTCATTATGACAGTGCAGCGTGCTGGAGGTCTTAACCCAAAAAGCACATGATGGCCATGAGTTTGTAGCTGAAACAAAAGCAAAGAACACTAAAGCCATTCATCATGTGTCTGGTTCTGCACCTTCATTACTGTCTCACCTCTTCACCCTTTCAGCTTTGCTTCCTTTTTAGTTCTCTTTTCCCTCTACACTTTCTTTAGGTGCTAACTTTCTATCCTCCCTTCACCCCAACCTTTTGGGGCCTTTAGCCTTAACCTTCCATCTTGCCTGTTTTGTTCCCTTTATTCTTTTTTTATTAACTTGCTCGCTTTCCTTTCCTTTACTGATTACTTGAATCTCTTTGCATACTTTGCTCATCTGTCTTTCTTGCTCTTTATCTACACTTTGCCTTGCCAGTCTATTCTTCTCACTCTGCAAGGAAGAAAACACACACATACCCAACACTTCTTATTAAATTAGTAATAATGTCACCATGCTTCCTCCCAGGAGGCTAGTGTTATTGACTTCATTATGCAAATGTAAACCAGCCCAAAGCTATACTACTGATGGGAAAGGACACACACACACAGACATCCATGCACTGTTTGTAGGGCAAGTAAGCTGGCCAGGCATAATTTCTTGCTGCTTCTTCTAATTATGTCAACCAGTGAGCTTGATGTGTGTATTAGGATGAGAACCTGCTAAGGCCAAAAGACCTGCGGTTGCAGCTTGTGTTATTTATTTGAGTGAAAATATGCTGGAATAGAATAGAATAGAATAGAATAGAATAGAATAGAATAGAATAGAATAGAATAGAATAGAATAGAATAGAATAGAATAACAACATAAAAATCAAGTATTTCAATATCATAACATTTTTATGTTTCAGAAACTTATTGCAATTTAAAGGTCTGCATTCATCTTACTGCATAATCTGAGGAATTTATACACATAAAAACAAAAGGGATCTCTATTGAGAATAGTAATATTTACCCTTTAGTTGAAAATGATTGTATTTAAGCTATTCACTTATGAAATGATTAATCAGACTATTATGTCTATATTTGATCTATATTATGTCTTTTTTCTATTCCGACTCTTGAAGGAGGTGGTGGCATTTTCCTGCTGCTCTGCAACTCCCTGATCTATCTCTGCTTTGCTGTTTCTTGTCTTTTCTGAGCCCTCTCTTCATATCACCCAAATTCAAACAATGGATCTTATTAGCTGGTCTCTCAATGCAACTGATCAAATTTTTTCAACTGGAAGACAGGTAAAAGGGGACCCTTCCTGCCCAGCCGAGACATACTTTGTGGGTTACACCAAGGACTGGAGAATTGTGTGTTTCACAATGTTGTCAGTGGAGATTATCGAAGATGTATGGATTTTCAGCTTTATGATACTCCCTAACCCTTGGATTTCTCCTGTTTGGATTTGGAAGATATCTGATGTGTCTAAAATTACAGAGGATGTCAGCAGCTATTTGGGCATTGATCAGGCTGTCGGCAGCAACTGACTCCCTCACAAAGGCTGTGAGCGAGCAGGACCGGGAGCTGAGCCGTATGCTGGGTGCAAGTGGTTGAACTCAAAGGTGGGATGGGATGATATCTTGGATGTGCAGCTCACTTCAAGGCAGAAAAGCCCAACAAATTTGGAATACTGGATTCCCCATGTAGAGCCAGCAAGAAAAGATGCAAGGCTGGCGGAAAATTCCTTTGGAGCCTCAAAACAATAAGTGTTTTTTTGGCTTTATAGCAGAAGGGCCCGGAAGAACTGAAGAAACACCTCCTTCTTGATTTCTTGCAAATAGTCTGTTGGCCTTTTTAAACACAAATATATATGTACCTGCAAATTTTATCAAATTTTTGTACTTAGTTGCTCTTTTATATGATTCTGATTATGCAAATTCTTAACAACTGTATCCTATAATTTTCTTATGGCATAAATAAGCTCAATCTATAGTCTCTTATTCTTACTCACAGTGTTAACACTTCTACTTTTGAGTGCATGCTTTACCTGGCATGTCATTTCCCAACTACAGCTTCCCCACTCTAGAGGGAAATTCTATTCTGTTAATCTACATTAGCATTTTATGTTTTATTAGTAATCTGGAATTCTACATATCCAACCTTTAACAGAGAAAGGATAAAGGGTCTGTCTTCTCAGCCCAGATTATAGCTTTATCTGAGAATCATATCCCTTAGTTTAGATTAAGTAGTTTTCTATCAACCGCTAATGAACTGGACTGGAACTTTTGACCTGTGGTCGTCATTGCCCCCTTTCAGAGATAAGTATCTCTCAAGATGAAGGCTCTCTCATATACCCTCTGGGGGATGCATTTCAAGCCTTTGTTCTGTGTATATCTCTATTAGTCCATTACCATAATAGTCTGACTCAGCATTGGGTGCTCAGCTCAGGAAATCTGTCCAGAAAGGTCATCAATGCATCAGGGGGGGTCTTACCATTAGGCAAACATAGTCAGTTGCCTAGGGCCCCCCGAGTTCCTAGGGGGGCCCCCAAAACACTCCTTTTACATGTATGGTTAATACAGCTATTACTTAGTTGTGTGCATTAATTATATTTTAGATAGAATTCCTTTCGCTAGAATGCCATTAGAATGCCTATTATATTAAGTGTGTCTCGGGGGGGCCCCTCAGTGTCCACCACATTGGATCAGTCCATTTGTTGCACATGTTCACAAAAGTCCAGACACACGGAAGCAAACCATTTGCAAACAGACGGCGCGAAGAGACGAGATGAGCAGAGAAGAGTGGAAAGAAAAGAAAGATGAAAAGAAGATACCCCAGCGGTGCTAAAAAGAGAACAAAGAAGGAGGAACGCTTTCAAAGTTACCAAAAATGACAGAATTTGAATTCTTCACTGCGGCAGCGGCTACAGCAGCAGTAACCCACAATCAGCAGCAGTCTCAGCGGTAACGTTGGCACCTGTTGAGGAGGGTCCGTCATGTGGAGATGGACAATTGGTGAGTACTAAACCAGTATTAAATGAGTATTAAATTAATAAGTATTTATTTACCTTACTGAAGATGGGTCATTTTAAAGTAAGTTTTAAATTTCGTTTGTATTTGCTAGTCCAGCATCATCCACTCAGCTAGTAAGCAGTGTACTTCTGGAAGATAACCCAGCACTCTAGCTAAAGCAGCTGTCTGATTGTGTCAGGATTTGGTAGTGGATAGATGACCCAAAATGCAGCGGCAGGGAGGCAGAGGTGATTTAGTTGTGGATTTAATAAAGGTTAACAGAAAACAGAGGCTGGAAATCCAAAAATCCAAACATGAAAAACTAAGTCAA